AATAATCTCTTTATTAAAATTTTTCAGTTTAGTATCACGGTCAGTTTTTAAGGCCTTCAGAAACCTTTAGAAAATGAGATGCAACCTTAAAATGATAAAAGAAAGGCTCAAGCTTGGCACCTAGAGCAGGTTAAAAAACAGAAAGGAAATCATTAGAAGAAACAGTCAAAATATGAGTTTGCAATAAATTGAATATATTGGGTAATAAGGGAAGTAGTAAAAGATAATTTGAAAATAAGAAAAAAATAATTTTTAAAATTTCTTCATGATTTTTTTGTATTTTCTTTTTCTGATGGTTAAAGTATAGTTTTTGTCCCATAAGTTTAGTTGTCATAGCCAATTGGGATGATTTTATATTTTCACTGCACATGTGGTCATGTACAATTCTCTGTGCAACAAGTTAGCCTTATTATCCAGTTAGTCGTTTATGCTAAATCCACGCTCTACTTGTGTTTGGCCATAGGACAATATTAGTAACAATTGGTAAATTTTCATTAACTCCTTGAATCTTGAAGTATCTGTATATTGAACCAAAAAAGCATCCAACCTATTGCTTACTTTTTTGAAACAAAGAAATTTCTCCATGTTCACTTTCACAACAGTAGTTAAAAATTGTGAATACTGTATTTTGGCTTGATCAGCAGCTGAAAGCGATACCTTTTTATAAGTAACTAATTTCAACAAAAACTTGTCAAAATAAAGTTCACACATCTCATAAGATTCCACCATGTACAAAGGTGATAAACATAATAAGTATTTGACAAAATGAGTTTAGCGCACTTTTTTCAATCATATGTTTGCACAGTGTAACTAAAAACTGTTAAACCTCTGTTTTAAAATTATATATTTGTACAGTAGTAATTCTTTTTCTAGATTTCAGTTGCTACAACTTGTATTTTATTCTAAACCCAAGATCAATATTTGTAACCAACTCTTGATTTTTGACTGATATCAAGTTTTAATACTTTAAAAGTTGTGGATACTTCAGACAAAACTTTTTTTCTGATAAACTTTTATAAAAACAGCCTTAGCAAATTCTCAAGTGTTTTCACAAGAAAAGGTGTCATATGATTGTCAGTTTGAAAAACTTACAAGAAATAATTCAATGATTTTGCAGTTTCCTTAAAAAAATTGCAACTTTATAGGGACTAATATACCTTTATAGCATGAAGAAAGGTATTTATAACTGGTTTTTTGCCCAGACTTACATTGACCAGGTTGCTCGCTTTTTGGTAAATTTTTCCAAAAGTCAATAATCAAAATAATCTTGGGCCATTTTTCCATAGCTCTCTTTGCTACTTTCTCATTTTCAATCCAATGATGGCTACAGAACTGTAGAGCATGGTCTGAAGACTGAGTTTGAGTAGGATTTTCAAAATCAGCATGACAAGAAGGGCTTTTATGGAAAACCTCATACAACGAAGACAGTAATTTGTTCAATTTCCATCCTAAAGCACTTGTTTTATTCTTGAATGAACAGTGCATTGTGTGACGGCTGCATGATCCAATTGATACTAACTGACTGAGTTCACATTTATTTCTCTTAGCATTCAAATTAGAGAGGAAAGACATTAACATTTAGACCATCCATGGAAACCTGGAACATTTTATCTACTTCTAAACCATTTACACATTTAAGGAAATTTATTATAATATTGACAGCAGCAGCTTTTCCCAAGAATTCATAGTTTTAATATATTGTTTTTACAAAATATTAAAACTATGAATTATTTGGGAAATAATTCATAGTTTTAATATATTGGGACTCCTTATCTCTAATAAGTAGTCCCAATATCTAACGTGACCCAATATCTAACATGGCTCTTCTTGACAACTAGATTGTAAGGTTCATCAAATTGGCAAACAAACTGATTAAGTTCTGATGTCTCATACAAAATTTCCTTAAAATATGGTGCAACTCCGAAGCACATAAGTTCACTTTGTTTTCCCACAAGAAAATTGTTTATCTATTTGACTATCACTAAACATTATAGAGTAAATAATTCAAATTTGTTTGCATTTGATCAAAAAGAATATTTTGAAAGCACAACATCAACTGCCCACATATTCTCTGCTTTCTTTGCTAACAGCGACTCTGCAATAAATACAATAGAAGCTTGCTGTAGACACAGTGCCGTTTGGGTTAACTGGTGGTTCTACAACAGTTTTTAATGCATATTTATTACAGACAGGCATACCTTGTTTATGTTTGTTACCATTAGCGTGTTTTTCCAAAGCCTTTGTACCCAGACCTGCAACAGATATAATTTTCAAACACATCTTACATTTTACAGAATAGAAATCATTGGGACGTTTTTGTACCCATCGTTTATAATTATTGTCATTTAACCAATGATCTTGAAATTTTTTGAAAGTTTTATATTTGTTTTTATATTATTTTTGAAAGTTTTATATTTTGAAATTTCTTAAAAGTTTTATATTTGACTGACATTTTCTATTCTAAAAATACAAAAATCTTTAGGTTAATTTAATTAAAATAAAAATGTGAATAAAAATAATTATAATTCGCAGAATTGCCACTGACAGAAATAAGAAAAAATTAGAAATTAAACATAAGTAGAGTAAAAAATTATCATTTAAAATTAAAAAAACTTATGTACACAGTTATAAAAACTTTTTAACATTTTTTGCACATTATGGCAGTCTAAAGTTAGCAAAAAAATAAAACACACAATTTTTTATAATAAACATTGTTTATTTAATTTATTATGAAAAATTTTTATTACAAAAAATGTAATAAAAATTTTTCATAATAAATTAAATATATTCCTTTATAGATAAATAAATTAAAAAAATGAATATGTGAAAAAAAAAAAACTTTATGAATATACAAAAGCACATAAAAAATTTTCAAAAAATATGCTGTTAAATATATATTTATACCATTAAACAAATATAACTCAAGTGTACACAGTGTACACCTTTGTCACAACTGGTGACTCAATTATGTTTGTATTTCTTTTATGACTCTCAGGTATATATTTTTTTATATTTTCATTCATCAGCATGTATTTTCAATGTGTTTGTAGCCAGATCTGCAACAGACCTTCAAATGCACATTACAAAAAATAGACATGTATTTTCAAAATGTATCTAGATCTGCAACAGATATAACCTTTAAACATACAACAACCATCAAGGTCATATTTAAAAAACTCAGAATATATTTTGCAAAAAATATTTTTAAACAATGCCAAATAATTTAGTTTATAAATTTAGCATTTAGCTGGTGGCTTTCTCAATTTTATGATAGGTAATGATTAAAAAAGTTTAAAAAACAAATATATTACAAATTGTATTTTTAGAAAAAAACCTTTGGCAAAAAGGAGTAGTTAAAAAAAAGATATCAGGATATAAAAAATCATTTAACATACCTAACATAATAACATAATAACCAAATAAAAATTTTAATTATTATTGTCTTTTAATCATTTTGTCTTTTCTTAAAATTTAGCTTTATATTTGACTGAGATTTTCTATTCTGAAAATACAATTATATAAAAATAATTTTGATGTTTAGAACTTAGACAGAAATAGGAAAAAAAAGCTTACTTGAGTAACTTATTTTCTCTCAGTATACAACAGTACTAACTCCAAGTCTGAACCATTTCATTAACTTTATTGTTGATTGGCTGATAATAGTTTATGCATTATACTCAGGGAGTATTTGAGAAAACCAACTATACTTAGGAAGAAATTAGGTCTTTTTAGGATGTTTTTTAAATATTAGGATATTTTAGGAGGCATGGCTACCCTGAGCTAGCTACATAGCAACTACATAGCCTATGTCCTGAAATATAGCTATTACATAAGTATGTAGTACATACTTACATACATATGTAGCAACTATGAAAAAAACAAAACAACCCGCTACATGCCTACCACACCTACCAACCCTGAAAATTGAGATACACCAGAAATGTAATAAACCAATCTGCCCAACAAGATAAAAATCAAAGTTAAAAAATAACTTCTTGCA